AGTAGAAAGACTCCTATAATAACATGAAAATTAAAACCAATCAATGTACTTTAATCTGTGAGATGCAATGTAAATAGTCCTAAGATAGATGTTTAAAGGTCAACATGCCTACATTAAAAAATTAAAGAGATTTCTAATTTAGTTAATGGTTCACCTTAGGGCTCTGGAAAAAGAACAACTTACACATCAAAATCAGGAGCTGGAAAGAAAGCACTGACATTAATGAAATCAGTGAAATGCAAACAGCTGAAAAGGAAACAAACCACAGAGTCAATAAAATTGATTTTAGTCCTTCAAAATATAAAAAATATTGACAAACTTTAGATAAACTATGCAAAAGGAAGCATGTAAGCCAAAGCTGAATATGTAAGATTCAAAAATGGAGTCATTATGACAAACAACAGTCAAATTCAGAAAATTATTAGTTTATGTTAAGAACATTCCACTAAACTGGAAAAATCTAAGACATATGAATTAATTTCTTGAGAGATCAAAAACTACCATAATTAAACTAAGATGATGATTTAAACATCTAATCAAGTGTGGATGGGGATAAGGCTCAGCAGTTAAAAGCATTCACTGTTCTTGTAGAAAAGCAGCATTCAATTTCTAGTACCTGTATAACAATTTACAATGCCATTGCCTAGACTCTTGGGGCCACAGACATTTGCAACAAACACATATATACATGCAAGAAAAATGCTTCTAAACATAAAATAAAAGGAAAATTAAAAATAGGACAAGCTCTGCCCCTTGTACAATACCTCTGGGGTGGGAAAAGGCACAGCCAAGGCCATCACTGGATAATTCAGCTACCACTGCGGCCCAATCTAGGACTTTGAGTTGGTTCACCCCAACATTGGCCATATCTATGAGCTGGTAGAGAAGGTGAAAAGGGCTGGCCCTTCAAAACCTAGTCACAGGATATCCATGACTGTATGTGATAGTAACATATCCAAGATGTGTCTAGGTGAGGGTCCAGTATTGATGGTGTAACAGAATGCAAAGACCCTGAACCAGACCAACAGCTCATTGCAATGTACATTATCAGTAAGTAAAGCTTTTCAGGCAAAACAATATACTGCATGGCACTCCCTAGTTCCCTATGCCATTATGATGAACAAATAATTAATGGAGATGTGGGAAAAATGGAGTAGTAAAGTGGGACAAGTAGGTTGGATCTGAGGTATGACATGTTTGACTGGTATGAGGGAAGGCTGCTATTGATAGTGGAGCATATCCATGCCCAGAGTGTTCAACAAGATTTGGCTTTTGGTTTGTTCATTTTTCTTTTCATTTTAAAATAAATTTACTTATGTATATTTTTACATTCAAGCCATAGTTTCCCATCCCTCCTCACCTCCCAGGAACTCCACCAACCTCCCTCTGTAGCCACCCTTCAAACCATTCCTTCTATGTTTCTGTTTAGGAATGGGCAGTTCTCCAATGAGTATCAACAAATCTTGGCCTATGAAGTTGCATTAAGACTAAGCAGTTCCCCATGTATTTTAAATACAGTTGATATGAACATATTTGAACAATGTCATTGTTGTATGACTGTGCATCCTTTGGGCATATGCCCAAGTGTGGTATAGCTTGGTCTTTTTGTAGGCTGATTCCCAGTTTTCTGAGAAACCTCCACACTGACTTTCAAAGAGAATGTACAATTTTCCACTCCCACAAGCAATGGAAGAGTGTTCCCCTAACTCTACCTCCTCTCCAGCATGAGCTGTTTTATATAGATATATAGGATAAAATGGTAGATTGTTGAACTTACTTTTGAAAAGCAACAACATGTTTAAAAATGTTTTACATTGCTATGGATTTTAGTTTATTGATACAAATTTAAAGTTATTTTTGTTATACTATATATGTATTTTTACTCTTATTGAAGGTATTATATTCATCTATCTCATTTAAATTGTAATAAAACAATTAGTCTTCTATGATAGTCATTCTTCGAGGACTTGAAGTTTTTGTCATGCAGGTTTTTCAATTGCTTGGTTAGAGTTAAGTCAAGAATAAATTACTTCTACTTTAGTAAGTTATCCTTGAGCAATGGCATACACCATTTTCCAAGTCCAAATTCCTTTTTCCTTTGTATGGTCTAATATGAATTCTCTAGCTATATGTTGTTTGATAGGTTTTTTAATTTTTCTCTTTTAGTCTGTTGAGAAACTCCTACGGAAATATTGTAATCATTACATTTTACCTTCTCTCTGTTTTGCTACTTCCCTCCTCTTGTCCTCATTTCCCAAGTTCTTAAAGATTTTTACATATCTTATATATGTACAAATATAATAGATACATTTATATGTTATGTATGTATATATGAAAATGTGATGCATTTATATTGGTATGCATATATAATATATCACACCTAATATGTTGATTTAATTTTGATCATATGCCTATGTGTTTTGAAGTGACCAGTTGGTTGTACATAACATAGAAGAGCTGTAGGCAATTGATATATTTTAAATAGAAAACAGTTAATATTTTTCTAGAAGGAACACAGATGTGAAAGAAGATAAAGAGGATGCCTGATAGAGGTTATAGGAGAGACTTGCTGTTTGGTTCAGTGATAGGTAGCTATACATAAGTCATTATATTTAGGCAATTTTATATATGCAAGGTTCAGTCTGGAAGAAGGGATTGCAATTTTGAGAATGCCTCCAACTGAATGGCATGTAGTTATGTCTTGGTCATTTCTTGGTTAATTATTCATGTAGAAGGACCCAATCCAGTGGAATTGGAGGCACCCTAGGCAGTTGGTCTTGGTTTGTTTGGAAAAGCAGACTAAGGAAACTATGAGGAATGAGTTAGGGAGGAGTGAACTTCCATGTGACCTTTTCAGTTCTAAGTAGACATCTGCCCTTTTCCTTTTAGAAGTGACCATCACTTCATTTTAGCTTCTACATAAACTTCTGTTTGCTAGAGTTTAAAAAATTCTCACTAGAAACCTGTAATTTCAGCTTCTGTAAAATTTGGTCAGTTCCAGAAAAAAATCTTTTATGGAACATGCATGAAAAGGGCACGCTGGGATGATTGCATAGGCAAAATTATTGTGATGCTTCCTGTTCTATATAAGCTATAGAATATTCATGATCAGGAATAGACATCCTTGAGCTGAAGCTAGAGTTTTTGTATCCTGGCTAGTTTTATGTTCACTTTACACAGCATCAAGTCATCTGAATGGAGGGAAATTCAACTGAGAAATACCTCCATAAGATTCAGCTGCAATGTATTTTTCTTTAGTTAGTTCTGGGAACATCAAACCCATAGTGGGTGGTGCTCTCCCTTGGTTGTTGTTAGTGGGTTCCATAAGAAATCAGGTTGAGCCGGGCGGTGGTGGCGCACGCCTTTAATCCCAGCACTCGGGAGGCAGAGGTAGGCGGATATCTCTGAGTTCAAGGCCAGCCTGGACTACCAAGTGAGTCCCAGGAAAGGCGCAAAGCTACACAGAGAAACCCTGTCTCGAAAAAAAAAAAAAAAAGAAAGAAAGAAAG